CAAACCTGAGTTCCCCCGCTCAGCCCTTTGTAAGGGTTGTGAGCCCAAGCTTGAGTTGTGGAAAGGGTGATTGCTATGGAGGCTCAGGGATCTGCTGGTTACAACCACTTAACTGATATTTGAAGTTATACACCGAGCTTTTGTTTCCTAGACTCTCTGAGGAAGCGGAAAGGAGGAATGTGCACGGGACAGTCAGTTTACTTCATTACCTGCTGATGAGACCCTGCAGGAAGGGACAGATTTAAACAGCTAATTATGGGCCCCCATGACAAATGGTCACACAGCAGCGGTAGAAGGGCCCTCTGAGGCCAGCGGAAACAGACGGGTGGGGGGAGGAAGAGCAGCCCCTTCGGGAAGGGGGGAGAACACGGAGAGTATGCTCCAGCTGGGTCTCAAGTGGGTGGTGAGGGTTTCACAGCTGCCTGTTGGGAAGGACATTGCGACAAAGAACAGAAAACTGGAGGTGTGGGCTCTCAGCATGTGACCATGGTCTTGTGTAGCAGCAAGCTGGAGGCCTGTGGGAGAGGTGAGGAAGAACATCTGAAAGTCCCAGGAAGAAGACAAGCTGTGTGGCAGGACTTTGGCAGTCAAGAGGGCCAAGATGGCGAGCTGTGATCAGATTCACGTCTTTCTCTGAGGGGAGGACTGGAGAATGACTTGTGAGGAAGCTATTCCGTGAGTCTGAGTGAGCAGGAAGACAGCCGATATCATACCAGGGGTTTGGTGGGAGTGGAGGCTGCTAGACTGACAGCTTGCATTCTGTCCCGGGGTAGAATGACACAGCTTGGTAACCAGTTGACTGGAAAGGGTTGACTAAGGACGAGGGGGTGGTGGTTGAAAGATGGTTAAATATGATCCGGAGTTTACATGCCTGTGCTAGGGACACAGAAAAGGAGCACAGGAAATACAAGTTTGAGGGATGAGAGAAGATGCCTTCCCACTGCCCAAGCCCAGTCTGTGCGACTCCTCTGGGTTCCTCAAGTGTACAGAGTCTCTCAAGACATCTGAACACTGTCTCTGTTCTGCAGACCCTCCTTCCCCTGATCTCCAGATGGCTAAGTCCCCATTTTCTCCAAGAGCCTCATTTGATTCCCACAATCTGGGTCAGGACTCTTTTCTGGATTCTTGTCTTTCTTTTCCATTTGTCTCACTGAAGAGGCAGCTGTCCCAGAAAGCCTGTCATTCCCCGGAGGGCAGCACCCATGTCTACCTTGTCTTCTGCTCTAGTAGCAGGACAGAGGACAGAGCCTAGCACACAGTAGGGTTTGGGATATCCGCAGCTGCACCTGGAAATAAGAGTTCACTAATAGTTTAGATCCAGGCACACCAGATGACTGGTGTTGAACCAGTGGCACACTGGCCATCTTTGACTGTCATGACTGAATGTGTGCATACTACTGGCATCGAGGGAGGAGTGACCAGGGTGCTGCTGAACTTCCTTCCAGGCCGGGGCAGTTCCCCACAAAGAGTTGTCCAACCCAACGTGTCAATGGTGTTGAAGCTGAGAAGCCTGGCTGGAGAGACAGTCGAGTTCCAGTGTGGCCCAAGTGAGTAAGAGCAGCAGCATAGTGGCTGTCACAAGAAATGCGGACTTGTGATGTGTAGCCAGGAACCACCTTGGATTGAGCCTCAGTCAAAGGGCCCACCTTGGGCGGTTTCCCCTTAGCTGAACTCTAGGCCCTCAGCCCAGCCGGCCCCGCGCTGCGCTTGCCTCTCTCTGACTCACCCCGTTTGGATTTCTCCCACTCTTTAGTGGAAGGGTACCACTTTCTTCCCGCCCCATCTGCTCGCTGATTATTTTCAGCTTGGCTTGCCGAGGTCCAACACTGCAATTACTCACCAACCTCAATGGCTCCTTCTGAAAATAACATTCGGGTGGAAGGAAACCTCCGTCTGGTGGGCTGGATTTTATATGAAATGGTTAAAGCCTGGGTGTGGGTACGGGGTGGGGAAGAGGACAAGGGAGTGGCTCGGTGGTACAATTAAGAGAAGACTCTGGAAGAAAGAAAGGGAAGAGAGGGAAGGGCTGGTGCAGGAGAAAACAGACCTCCTGGACAGGGGTCCTGCCTCCTCTTCCAGAAGCTGCATGCCAAATCTTCTCGCATGCTTCTAATTGAAGGGTCTGTTTGCTGTAATAACTTATCCCCTCCCCTGATCTCTGAGGCCTGGGAAATTCATGTCTGCCTGGGGCCAGAAGAATTAAGTCTATGGGCATACCAATCTTTATCCAAGCTAGTGACCAAATTTTCCGACCCCAAAATAGGAGACACATGGTTGACATAGGATTTTTGGTCTCTTTCCAGGAGAGAATGGCATATTGGGATATGTAGTTTCCTGACTGGTAAGTGGAATTTCTGGGTGAGTACATGGCCAGAAAGGAGAGTAGAGAAGTGCGGGAAGAACTTTCTGTGCAGGTATGAGGACCCGAGTTTGGCTATCCAACACCAGTAAAAGTCTGGGTGCAGTGGAAGGCATTTTTGACACAAGATCTAGGTGGTAGATCCTGGGGCTTGCTGGTCAGCCGCTCTAGTCAAAATGGCAAGCTCCAGGTTCATTTGAGACCCAAGTCAAAGAAAGAAAGGAAGAAAGAATGAAAGAAAGACGGAAAGAAGGGAGAAAGGGAGGGAGGAAGAGAGAAAAAAAAGTGGAGAGCGATTAAGCAACTGAGGCAGACACCTAATGCTAATCTCTGGCTTCCACATTCACAACCAGGTACACACAGCATTGCACGTGCAAGCAGACACACAGGATTCTTGGGGGAAAATTATAGATTTATGAGGTACTTTGGCTCAGAGAGGAAAATGAAGAATCATTTGTAGGAATAAGGTGGAGAAGGTATTTGTACAGATGAGGTAGAGGGGGTATTTGTAGGGATGAAGTAGAAGGGGTATTTGTAGGGATGAGGTGGAGGGGGTAGGTGGGGATTAACTGGAAGCCCCTAAGGAATTTCGAAGGAGGCAGAGGTGGGGGAGAAGGCTGTGTGAGGTGAATTTTGGAAAAAGAGGTGGGAATAGCTCTACATGTTTGTTAAAAGCTTATTTTTGAAGTTTAATTCCAGGCAGTCTAAATCCCGGGGTGGACTTCCCATGGCAGCTTAGCATTGCTGGCCCTCCATCTCCTCATTTGCTTAGGTGGGTAGGGAAGGGCTGAGGGGATGAGCAGCGGATGCTGCAGGAGAGCCGTGGGGGCGAGAGTGCCAGAGAACTGGGCCTGAGTGCGCCTACCAAGCCCACTGGTTTTCTGGAGCCATAATACCTGGGGAAGGAACCTCAGACGGGCCAGAGGGTCCTTCTGTGTTCTATGGGATGTTTCCATCCTTCTGGGACTGGGAAGGAAGGGCCTTCCTCTATTCAGGCCTCACTGTGCTCCCTGGCTCAGCATTGTTTCTCCTGTCCCTGGTTCAGAGAGAGAGAGAGAGAGAGAGAGAAAGAGAGAGAGAGAGAGAGAGGGGCACTGCTGAAACCCACCTCTCTTTAGAAGAAAGAAAGCCCGTTGCAGAAGAGTCTTCTAGGCTGGGAAATGAGGATTGAATTGGTCACACCCAAAGTGTGGGAGGAACACTGGGTAGTGGAGGCCCACGTCTTTAATCCCAGCTCTCAGGAAACAGAGGCAGGGGGATCTCTGTGAGTTCAAGGCCAGCCTTGTCTGCAGAGTAAGTTCCAAGATGGCTGGGGGCTAGACAAAGAAACCCTGTCTCAAAAACACACCAAAGCAAAACAAAACAATAGCAACAAAAGTGGAGACTATCACTGGGGCTGGAGAGAAGTTAAGAGCACTGGCTGATCTTCAGAGGACCCAGGTTCAATTCCCAGCACTCACAGAGCAGTTTGCCATCATCGGCAGCTCTTGTTCTAGGGAGTAAAAGGCCCTCTTCTGGCCTCAAGGCACACAAGTGGCGCACAGACGGACATACAGACAAAGCATTCATATACATAAAATAAAAACAAATAAAACTGCTTGGAGATACGATGGAGTAGATTAAGCAATCTTTAAAAAGAAGGAAAGAAGTTATTACTATGGCCATTCTGCAGTTAAAGTAAAGCTAGTACCCCGGCACCCCAGAGGCCTTCATCCAGACCCTGACCTTTGAACTTAGCTTGGAAAGATGGGCGGGATTTGGAGAAATCCTTAGGTCGTTCTTGTATTGGGCTTTTGAAGGGAAACGCTGGAATCAGGCTAATGGAGTTTGACTCCTGGTTCTGTGATCTCAAGCAAATTGCTTAACTTCTCTGGGCCTTCCTTTTCTTCTCTGTAAAGATGTCGAGAACCCAGAGAAACCCTGTCTCGAAAAACCAAAAAAAAAAAAAAAAAAAAGATGTCGAGAACCACCTCTTCCTAGGGCGTCCTGAGGCAAGAGAATGTGTACAGTGCTTAGCATAGTCCTGGAAACGTTGACCAGCCCTTAGTTCAACGGTTATTATTACCTCCAGACACCCCCAATGTGGTAGGTAAGCCGATTTTAGCTAACACAAAACCATTTTTTTTTATTTGAATAGTTCTGAGTTTATTTTCAGGCTGTGGCTTCTCTAATGTTATCGCTTAGGGCAAGAATACATAAAAAAGGGAATAGATTTAAAGTTAATTTAGAGAAACAGGATATGGGAGACAATCATGATATCTGCAGTTTTTGTGAATATATTGACGTGACATGTTTCCTCCCACAAATAAAACGTTCAAGATGGGCGGTACAGCATCAGATATCCGGAGACTCGGAAGGAGGCCAACTCAAAACCCAGCTTTTCTCTCCAGGCACGTTTGGGGCGATTTCGGCCTCTCTGATTTTTTTTTTTTTTTTTTTTTTTTGGATCACTGGGTCAGTCAGCCAATGCCTCGGGAGAAGACTAATTCAGCCCAGATCGCAGGCGCAAACTGCCAAAGGTCTCCTCGCCTCTGGCTCCGCCCCCGTCCCCGCCCGGCACATCTGGAGAAAAGCTTCCCGCCGCGGGGGCGGGGCAGAGTGCACCCTGAGCATGCGCGTCGGCAGGCCTAGTGTGCGGCAGTCGGGCCTCCACTCCCAGAGCTGCGTTGCAAACTGTTGCATCAGACAGCAAGCAGCGCCCCACGCCGCCAAGGTTTCTAGGAAGATGACGAGGTTTTGAGCTCCTCCTCGGTGGTTTAGGCGCTTTGGCTGCCCCGCCCTGTGTATACACGCCGGCAACAGAAGCCCCTGAAATCTCAAGCTTGCGGGACTGGATGATATCCGAGGGACACTTGCTTCCCCCCCACCCAGGGCCGGCCGTAGGCAGGCAGAACCTACTGAACTGTATTGGGTTTACCTTCTTAACGGCGAGGACCCTGAAGGAAAGAGCAGGTTTTGATTTCTCTTTCCGAGTACAAGAATGCCCCTGAGGAATTTCACACTCTGAAAGTGCAAAACTCATTTCCCCAGATTAAGCGCCTCAGACGGTTCCCCAAAGGGCTTGGCAAGCTCCCAGCAGAATGCGTTGGGAGAGTTTCCAGCTGGGCAGAGTTGGAAACTGGAACGTGCAGACGACCCTGATCTAGGAAGAAGATCCCCGGTCACTCAGAACGTCTCTGTAGGAAGACAGTCCTTCTAGATAGGTCTACCTTTGGCTCATCGCAGGCCTCTGTGTGATGGAGATTTGGGACCTCAGACAGAGAATGCAGAACCGCACACTCACGCATAGGCGGCGCCTATATAGTTTCCTTGGCTCCAACGACTCGAGCGTGCCTGACTGCAGAAAATTTTGCCCCTCACTCTTCTAGGTTCTGGTCCTAATGCCTTCCTCAGAGGAAATGATGCTGCATCTAGAAGGCTCGGGAAAGTCTTGTAACGTTAACAACATTAAGGGGCCTGGGGATGTGGCTCAGCAGTTGCGCTCTAGCCCGGCTTGCACTTCGCTGGCTGCCAATCCCACCACACAATGAGAGCACCAGTTAGGAATCCACCCCTTTTCAGAAACGGTTTGAATCTTACCTCCAATTCTTTTCATTTTAAAAAATAGGTCAAGGCCAAGATCATTAAGTGTTAATAGATTTTCCAGAAAAAAAAGTCAACTGGAATTTTACCTTAAGTATTCTTTCTGTCTTTTTTAGGGTGTGGACGGTGAAAGTCTATTTTGATTGAATAATCGTGAGAGTTAACAGAAGCTCAGTGTTCTTCCTTCCCCTGATGATTGTGACTCACTTAACTCCAAGAGGCAATTTTAAAAATGACTGAAAGCCAGGTAAGCTCTACCCAGTGTGTCCCAACAGTCGCTGCGGTTTAAACAGCATTTTCCTGTCAGCTGTGGAATCCTATGGCAGTTTGGGATTTTCATTGTAATACGCGCTTCATAAATATGGCCCGAGTAGCTGCACTCTTATATGAGCCAAAGGAATGAGAATCACAAGCCAGCAGGAGAGGCAAGCTCTTAATATCCTGGAGCCAGGCAGGAAAGTTGGAGTCATGAGCCTTGAACTCCTGGTGGGATCTTTGCTACAGCCCTAGGGTCAGTATGTTGCAGGCCGTCTTTACACATCCCTGGAGTGAGTGATCCAAAAGAAGGAAACACTGTACCCTGAAGGACAAAGAATTTGCAGGAGGCAGCTGAGGACAGTCTGAGACCTCTTGTGTTGGGTGAAGAGGGCTAACTCTTTTGGCTTAAAGACAGTGCAACAGAGACAGCTCCTAAGTGACAAATCTCATGAGCTCCTTTCTACACTACCCCCTGTCTGGAAAAGCCACCTGCTGGTCGTTCTACATAACCACACCTAGTGGCGTGATCCTTGGTAGTCTCTCACCTGGATTGAGTTTCCAAAACAAACTTCTGGAAAAGTAAGGGGCCCGAGTTACTGATCCACGGGGCAGGAAAAAATCCCCCTGAAGACTGGATCTCTCACCCGATGGCCAGAGATGTGGCCTATTAGAGAAGGATGATTCAGTCTCGTCAAAGGAGCAACTCTCAGCAGTAGCCCAAACCCAGACAAAGCTCCTGTTAAAAGCCATGATTGAAATTCCTCGTGGAAAGTCTGTCTTTGAGACACTCAAGACACCTCATTTAATTCCCATTTCCTTTTAAAGTCAGGCCCCTCCTTCCTGAGAACCATATTTAAAGTCGCTAGCTGGCTTTCCTTCTGTTTTTGCTATTTGTGTGCCAGCTTCAAGGGTGGGGAGAGCCACGTTAATTTAAAAATATAGCACAAATAGCAAAAGGAGACTCGATTTAAAGTAAAAACCACAGAAAGGGTTTTCCCCTCCCCTTCTGTGTTTTTCAGACTTTCCTCAGAGCCCAGACACAGCAAGTGAACGGGCCTCACTGGATGCTATTCCAAACAAAAGCAAAAGGCCCTCAGTGTCTGTCATGGCTCCTCTAGATTTTATTTTTCTGTTTTAGAGTTTAGTCCCAAAGAGGGCTCCAGAAAGATGGCCAACCTCCATTCCTGGTAGGGTCATTCCAAGCACCCTAGATTTAGGGTTATAACCTGCCCTCGGCTCAGTGGTGTGCGCCTGTGCATTTTGGGTCTTGGAAATGTGGCTTTAAGGGTAGAGTTCCTAGATCAAACCGTGCTCCCATTATTTATTAATTTTCTGATTTACATCAAATGGAAATCATGATTCACGATGTTCAGGTCTAAAAAGGACCTGGAGCAAAAGGTGGCTGCCTCTTTAGTTTTCATCTTCCGTTTTGGAATCGAAAGAAAATTTGTTATCTATTTCAAGTGGAGGATCCACCTCCATTTTAAATCACTCACAGGCTCACTAGAAGGGGAGGCCAGACTGAGCTGAATTTGCCTTTTAACTGAATGGAAGCCCCATCCTTGCCCCTTAACAGAACAAGAGCGAACCGGTTGGGACTTGAGAAGCCTTGAAGGGACGGCAGTTGCTCAGTCTAAAGAAGCAGGTCTAAGAGATTGGAGGTTTAGGAGGGGAATCACCTGAAGAAGGAAAGCCGCGGCAAGGTGTCTGTAGGCAGTTTACGCTCTTGAAAACTCCTTGCACGTGCGGCAGCGCCCTCTGCCGGCAGCAGGGGGACAAATCTTGAGCCTGGCCCCGCGGCTGGTCAAATGGGACTCAGGATCCCTTCTGCTGCCTCCGCCCCCGCTCCGTCCCTTCTCGTGATCGCGCAGCCAGGTCTGGGACTGAATTCCAGAAGAGGCATCCTCATCCTATGCCTGAAGGCTGAGCAAGGACGCCGCTCTAAAACACCCGGTTCATCAGCAGAGCGGAGGCTGCAGGAACCTACCCAAACCCACCTGGGGCTGCTTTTGCCTCCCGGAAACCTGGGCGGAAGCCTGCGGGGCTGTCGGAGGTGGTTTGGAAGTGGCGTCGCCTATGGCCAAGACCGAGGGTTCTGCGGACAGAGAGGAGCCCTGGGGTCGCTTTCTGCCTCAACCAGCTAGGTGACCTTGGGCAAGGTACTTAAATTTCCACGTGCCTTGTTTTCCTCCTCTTTAAGATGGAGAGAACGCTCCCGACCTTAATGGGTTGGTTTGAGATTTACATGAGATCTGACAGTCTAGGTTGGTATTCTGGCATTGACACCAGCTAGCTACGTGCCCTGGGGCAGGTTACTTAATCTCTCTGCCCTGGTTTCCTGCAAAGTTGGGATCATAACGGTACTTACCTCTGAGGGTTGTTGCCTGCAAAGCGCTCAACACTGCCTTGGCAGAGTAAGCGCTCAATAAACCGTGGCTATTATGGCTGTTGTCGTCATTATTGTCCTTAAGAGCGCTGAGCACAGGAGCTCTAGCTGGCTGGTTATTATTAGTCTGTTTCTCGGGTTTGGCTATTTCTTTCCCGGCATTGTTAAAAAAATCTTTATTATTCTTATTCTATACATAAACTATTAGCTCGCGTCCTTATCAGTAGCTGAACTAAGAGCCTTCCCGAATTAGCAAAATCTAGGTTCCCTGGGAGGAGGGCCAAGGATGCGGCAGCGGGCTTCAAGGACTCGGACCTGCTGGGAGGAAGCCCGCGCCGGGTTAGCGCTCAGCCGCGGTGACGTCGCCAGGCCCTCGGCTCAGGGCCCCGGAGGCGCGGCCTGCGTTCGCCAGGCGCCTGCGGTGGTGGGGATGGCCAGGTGGTACCCTGAGCCGAACTCCAGCTGCTCTGGTGCCCTACTCTCCGAGGTGGCAGAGAAGAAACTGCTTGGGCCAGCAGCCTCGCGCCTGCCACTGCGGGGCGCACCCGGGGCTCCGACTACAATCTCACCGGGAGGCTGGAGGTGACAACCTCTGCTAGGGTGTCCAGGCCCCGCCCAGCCTGGCACACCGCTAGCTTCCTGGAGGCTGCTCTGCATCCTCTTGATCCTCCCTATCCCGGTCCTCCATCCTCCTGAAACCCATTCCTCATCATCCCGCAGGGCCCCAGTTCAGTTTCAGCTTCCTCTGCTCTCCTTGTGACCGACTCCTCCTCGGTCTCCGGCACCTCCCATTCGCCCGCAGCGCCGGGAGCACGCCCCGCAGGTCCACTTAGCTTGCCGTGCACGCATCTCCAACTCGCCGCATCTTGTCCCCGTTAGTCTCCATCGCAGTGAAGGTGACACCACCCACCCGATCTCTAGAAATGGGTCCTGGATGTGTGCCCCCCCCACACCCCGCCCCACCCCGCAGTGGCTACTCCAGCCTAAGCCACTCTGTCTTTGACCTTGTAAAGTAGCCACACTCCGTCGGCTATTAACACGTTTCTCTCCAAGATGTCTCGTGTCTGTCCTGCCTCGTTCAGATCCTATTTTTCCTTCAGGCCGCAAGCTCCCTACACCCCAGTCAGTCTCACAGCTTTTGCCGGGAGGCCGGGCGCTCCAGGCCCTCCTTATCTTCCTGGGCACGCAGGTCTGCCATTTTCTGCCACCTCATGATCTAGTCCCGGTTTAGACCATGACTGGATGGCACTATTTCTAGTGTTCAGCACTTAACCTTCGATAACCTTCCTCTTACTGTCCTGAACTCAAAGAGTGTCCCCTTCAAGGATGTCCCTTCCTCTTGTTCTATTATCCGGCTCTGTGAAACCTAGAAAGGTCCTGTCTGTGCCCCGCCCCCACTCCACTTCCTTCTTCCCAAAGCAGAGTTATTTGACGTGTACCTTCCCACCGGCTCTGTTTTCTTCACGCTCTCCCCCATCCTAAGGATCCTCCCCCACACACACATCAGCCTTCTCCCTACCCCACCCCAACTTCCACTCAAGTTTAAAAAAACCTAAAACTTACAAAAACTACCTCTTTTCTTTGTTGAAACAACATTTTCCCTATTCAATGCAGAGGGGTGTGTTTGTTTGTTTTGTTTTTTTTATTTTACAAGACAGGCTTCTCTGTAACTTTGGAGCCTGTCCTGGAACTCGCTCTGTAGTTGACCCAGAACTCACAGAAATCTGCCTGTCTTGCGCCACCACCGCCACTCAATCCAGAGTTTCTTAAAGGACACAAACCCTTTGGATCTGGATGGAGTCCTCTGAACCAGCTCTGCCCCTTTCCAACAGAATCACGTTAGCACTTTGGTGCTGCAGTCCCACACGGGCCTTTACTCCATAGCTTGGTGCCTGTAGGCGCTTGGAAGGAGCCATCTGAAATGATTTTCAGTGTTGAAGAGATACCACGAGACTGATCTTATATATAATTGTGTAACTTGCTTGTTTGACTAGGCAGTGTGAACCCATATTAATGTATGTATTTCTAGATCTTGCTTTTTCGCTGCTGACAAGGGACCCATTTTACAAATTCAGCAGACTTTATTTTCCAGCCTCCTTCCAAAAGATATTTAGCTCCTATTTACTTTGTTTTTCTGTTAGAAACAATGCTATAATAGCTTTTAAAAAATCCCATTTCCTGGAAAGAAAGCAGACTTGGGTAGATACTTGGGTGTGGAATTGCTAGGCTCAGGACATAGAAACTGGCAGTGTTGTTGGGCATGGCTCAATGGGTTTTCAAAGTGGCTGTACTAATTCAGTTATGTGAGAGTTCCCCCATGTTCCACATCGACACTTGCTAATGTCAAACTTTAAAGTTATTGCCAAGCCGATGGGTGTGAAGTGGCATTTCAATGTTTTAATTTGCAATTCTCTGTTTACAAGTGAGAGAGATTGGAGCAGACTTTCTGTTTATTGGCCATTTGCCTTTCTTCTTCTTCTTCTTCTTCTTCTTCTTCTTCTTCTTCTTCTTCTTCTTCTTCTTCTTCTTCTTCTTTTTAAAAATTGGCTATTGGTTTATTTGACAGTGCATGTATTGGTCATTTTTATTATATGTAGGAATTCTTTATATAGTCTGGGTACTAATCCCTTGTCAGTCTGTGGCCCATCTGGTGTCTTTTGTCCCCATTCGATTGCAATTTTAAATTGATGAGATTATTTGATGAATACCTGATTTTCCTGTTAGACAATAAATTCATGAGAAGAGAGATTGTCCCTTGTAATAAGCGCAATATTAATAATTATCATGAAGTCTATAAATACTTCTGACTGAAATGTGTTGATAATTGCTATTATTATTATTATTATTAATGTGTTTTCTCTCCTCCCTCTAGCTTTTCCTCTCAGCTGCTCAAGAGTATGAATCTGGACACTTTATCCCTTTGTGTTCCCAGTACCCTTGGAAGCACAGCGCTTTGATCACAGAGAACACACCCAATGGTGATTAAGTTCCTTTCTGGTTTCTCTTTCTGTTTTTTTTCATCCTCATTCTTCTCAGGTCATCTTCTATCTCTGAGCCCAGTTATAGCTCTGCAGAAGGAATACATTATAAATATCTACCATGTGTTTGTGATAATTATATGAAATATGCAAAATGAAACACTTCACACAGCTGTCAACAAACAGTGACTTTCAGTGACCCCACAACAGTCATTTTGGTCACTAAAGATACACTGCCATTAATTTTTTTTTTTTTTTTTTGGTTTTTCGAGACAGGGTTTCTCTGTGGTTTTGGAGCCTGTCCTGGAACTAGCTCTTGTAGACCAGGCTGGTCTCGAAACTCACAGAGATCCACCTGCCTCTGCCTCCCGAGTGCTGGGATTAAAGGCGTGCGCCACCACCGCCTGGCCCACTGCCATTAATTTTAACAGAAAGTTCTTTCAGAGACAGAATAAAAGCGATCCTCCTAAAGATGTGGTGACCGAGTTTTTTTTTCCCCTTTTTTCTTTTTCTTTCCTTTATTGGCATTTGACCCACAATGAAGGCTTGGCTCCAATGTGAACTCTGAAAAGCATCAAATATCATTCTTCTGCCTTTCTTTTCTAAATTCCAGCTATATCAAAGCTTGCGAACTGTACATAGAATTCTAGCCTTAAGAGGAAACATAAAGGCTAGTCCTACATCTTTGGTCAGAAGTCAGGGAGCAGAAAGGAGGTCTGTCAGCAATACTAGGGCCAGTTTTAGGTGGTTGCAGCTTGGACAAAAGCAGAATTCTTACATCTGTTTCCCACATCTGTGTTGATTGCACGACCTTTGATCTATTTATAAAATGAAGATAATCACTCTTGCTTTTTATGGATCAAGGCTTTTATGGTTAAAATTCACTGACTACTCCTTGAAAAGTCTTTGAGATCCTTGGCATGAAAGACAGTTTACATTTATTTAAGCAGAGCTTCCTAAAGGTAACTGACTTTGCAGTAGCTATGGACATAGCATGTGCACTGTTTTGCCAGGAGAGTGGCTCTCCCCACAACACCACCACCAGCTGTAAGCCCCTACAGACCAGGCGAGCTCCAGCAGTTAGCTGACTCCCTTGGCATAAAGGCCTGAAGCTTGCCTGAATGACCAGTTTTGGATAGTCATATTTGATCATGATGAACTTACTAGAAGGCCTTTGTCCCTACATGATGGAGGAAGGTCATTGGTTAATTAAATAAAGAAACTGCTTGCCCTGATAGGTTAGAACATAGGTGGGTAGAGTAAACAAACAGAACAGAATGCTGGGAGGAAGAGGAAGTGAGCTCAGAGACGCCATGCTCCCCTCTCCTGGGCAGACGCGATAGCTCTGCTCTCTGAAGCAGATGCAATGGAGCAAGCCGCCAGGTCAGACATGCTGAAACCTTCCCGGTAAGACCGGTGCTACACAGTTTATTAGAGATGGGTTGATCGGGATATCAGAATTAGCCAGTAAGGGCTAGAGCTAATGGGCCAAGCAGTATTTAAAAGAATACAATTTGTGTGTTGTTATTTCGGGGCATAAGCTAGCCAGGTGGCAGGAGCTGGGTGGCGGAATGCAACCCGCAGCACCCCACAACACCTACAGGAGGAAAGCAGGTGTTTATACTGAGTTCATTGTGATACGAGCCCTCCAGAGTGAACAGTTAGCCCTAAGGACTCCTGGCATAGGCGCTTTCCAGAAAGGCCTGTGCAATGTGTCAGGAGAAGGTGGACTGGAGCTGACTTTTCCTCACACAGACATCTGGGAAGGGACTCACACAGCACAGACACACTGCAGGGCCATGCAGGCTTTGCCCCTCCAGTGCTGGAGGGAGCATTAACAAAAGAGCGTGTGGGCAGAGTGAGGCGAGAGCCATCTACTCAGAACTCACTGCTATCCCACCCCTTAAAATCACTAAATCTCTGAGCCTTGGGTCCTCAGCTATGGGTCAGGATAATCAACACCAATCAGCCAGGGTTGCCAGACCTCGCGGGCTATGTTTGTAAGCTATGTTTGTAGTGAAATCAGGCCACTCCTTCACCCAGAGCTCCATTTCAGACTGAGCACATTTTGCTTCCTTTAGTTAAACTAAAATGTTTTTTTGTGGTACGGGGGTTTGACACAGGACCTTGAACTTCATCGATGAGCATTGTACTGCTAAGCTCCATCTACCAGCCCTCTTTTTACTTTTTATTTTATTTTTTTAAATACTCTTCTGGTTTCCAACATGCACATGCAGAGGCAAGCACACAGACACAGACACAGACACACACACACACACACACTAAAGAGAGAGAGAAATGGAAAGAAAAAAAAGAAAATCAACTCCTAAATTTTATTTATTTGTTTGTTTGTTTATCTTTTGGTTTTTTGAGTTTCTCTGTAGCTTTGGAGCCTGTCCTGGAACTCACTCTGTAGACCAGGCTGGCCGCGACCTCACAGAGATCTGCCTGTCTCTGCCTCTCGAGTGCTGGGATTAAAAACATGCACCACTGCTGCCAGACCTAATTTTTTTTTTTAAAGAATTGGAATTACTATGAATACGATGTTTGGTGTAAACAGACGTCTTTCCGGCAGCACCACCATTCTGTTGAAAAATCAGGCTACTCCTACACCCTAGTGCTGACTGCTCTACCACTGTGTGAGGGCCAAGTGATAGCTTTCCTGTGCACTTAGCGCATGGGCAGCGCTTGTCTATTGTGCTATTGTTCACAGAGATGGGTGTTGCAGAATATCTGTTTACTACGCAAAGATGTGTTGCATTTGTTTAACTATGTAAAGATGTGTTGCTGTTTTACCTTGCCCGCCTAAGGCACCCAATTAGTCTAATAAAAAGCTGAACAGCCATTGTGAGGCGGGAAGTATAGGCAGGCAGTAAGCAGGAGGAAATTAGACTTGGGAGAAGAAAAAAAAGAGATGCCAGGGCCAGACAGACAGACAGGAAAGTACGGCATGCAGAATGAAAGGAAGATAAAAGCCCTGAGGCAAAATGTAGCTGAAT